ACACACACACACACACACACACACACACACACACACACATATATATATATATATATATATATATATACTTATATATAGGTGTATAGATGTATATATATTCGTATATAGATCTATATTTATGTATACAAATACATATGTCATATAAATATGCATTCATATTGAACTATCTATATATTTACATACAGAAGTGTACACATGCAGTCATTTTATATGTAAATATATCGATATTTATATGTTTGATAAGAGATTCACAGATACATATATATATTCGAACATACGTTTATGTCAATTCAGGTGCATGTTTTATTTGAGAATAACTAAAGGTTCAGTATATATGCATGGCTGCGTGTGTTTGCATATGTATGCGTATGTACGTACATGTATGTGCGCGCTTAAGCATGTGTTTCACGCATATATGTAGTCATGATACGTAAGGCTTTGTACATGAAAAATTGATTTCCTTCTGGCTTAGCACGTGTCTTCGCAACTACCTCACTCCTGTCATCAGCACTTTTTTCCAACATGATTGATTCATGACATATTTACGCTTTGGTTCGTCTTTAGCTTATTCCTAGTATCGGCGTACTACATTGCTTTTGGAATTTTTCACAGATTTGTGGAGACATTCATGGCCAATTTTGGGATTTGGAGGAGCTCTTCAGGACCGGGGGGCAAGTTCCAGATACTAGTTATATTTTCATGGTAGGTCAGGTGATATTGTGTGTAAAACCTATATGCTTGCCACTACCTGTGTCAACCACCCACGAATATATGTATACATGTATGCATATGTCCTCTATATACCTATGTATTTTTATCTACATATGTATTTTTATATACATATGTATTTTTATATACATAACGTATATGCATTGCACGAGTATACTTCATGCATCAATATATAGGTATACATCTCTTCAGATTTTCCATGAACCATCTTATATGCGCGCGTAGGGTCAATTGTTAACGTTGTGTATGCATGCATTCTCTACATCCATTACTGCTTGTTCATTCTATCAGGCGCTTCAAGCCATCTCTCTCCACACCCTCGCACGATCGAGGTCTGGTTGAGTGCAACACATACAGTGCACATCTCCATATCTGCGTTTTCCAGAAACACGCAATTGACACGTAGTAATGCTGATAAAGCATGCTCAATCGTACCAGAGTGAGAGACTGAGTTACATCCGCCCTGAATACCCC